GAACTAAAATAAGCTCAGAAATTTCCACAAGCTAGACAGTATTTCATGCAGCTCACCTGTGCTTGGAGATTTGTCCAGCAACTGGAGGAGCTGAAATGCCAGCTTTCCTGGAACAGGTAGAGAATGTACTGGCATTAGTTTTTCATGATGTTGTTGCTATTTAACAGATAACCTATTTTGAGGAAAAAACACCTTCCCCAAAAAACTGGGTACTGTAAGTCACTAAGTTGTGTCATGTCAGGCTGCTTTGCCTTGAATACATTTGTTATGGAAGCATGTGAAATTACCTTTGTTTCTGAACAAAATTGAGAAGTATGATTTAATGAAAGAGGAAGATTCTCTGACTTCTTTAAGCCATAAGAGACTAGATTCCTCTTTGAATGAAATTGGATTTGTTGACTCCTATTTCCCCATCTGCGTGTGCTCTATTTTATACACAGAGGAACACTTTGACAGGATTTGCATTTTTTAATCTGCAGATCAAGTCTGAAAACCCTCTTTCTAGCCTCAACACTTAATTTCTTACTTGTTTCTGCAATGTGTGAGTCCCAAGACTTCAGAAAAAAAAGAAACTTTTTTCCCTTTAAGCTCCACAGCACCAGTTCTGTAGCAGCACTTAAGCCTCTGTTGAATAACCTAAATGGGAGGGTGGGAACAAAAGAACAGAAGCCGTTAGCTTAGAACTCCAGAGACTGTATGCTCATCTAACAGAAATAAGAGCCACAAGAAAACCCACTCAGTGAACTCCTTTGCTGTTGTGCTTACCCACTGGAAGCTTAGCAGACGTGTGGTCAGGATGCCAAGGCACAGTTCTGAGGTTTGACAGCTTGTTATCATAGGTTTTTTTCGTGAAAAGCTTCAGGTCTGGTGACTGCTTTCGCACTCCAGCCTGTTCCCACTGCTCCCCTCAGTTCTCTCCACCTGAGCTTCAGCCCGTTTACCCCTCAGTTCCCATTGTCCTCACCCCTCCCCACAACCCCTCCTAAGCCAACTTCTGCACGATCCCTGTGTTCTCCCCTCAGCACAGTTTCCTGCTACCATTGCACTGCTTCTCCTCCATGTGGCCTCTCAACCTTACCCTTTGGTGTTTGTCATCTCCATTTTCATACAGTCTTCAGGGTGGAGGTACTCTGCATTCGTGCTTTTTTGTACACTGGAGAGGGACTTTTCCTATTGATGACATCTGCCATCCCAGAGCCAGCCAGAGGTTGCCAAGGCCTTACAGGCTTTCCCTTTCTCCCCAGGACTGCTGTGTGAGCTACGGTGGGATGTGGTATCTTAAAGGGACGGTCCAGTCTTGACAACGGTGGTAGTGATTTCAAGTGATCTCCAGGATGAGAGACCTGCAGCAGGTGGCACAGAGCAATGCCATGGCCTCGGGAGTGTGGGGCAGGATCTGACCTACTTTGGGGCACGTGGGCATTGCAGACAGACAGTCCCTGACACCCCAGCACATCTGACACGTTTGCATGGCCGCCTAGGCGCAAAAGCAGCTAGGAAGACAACACGGGACCCTGTCTGCAGCTTGATTAATCTGGGATTTCTAATGTATTTCAATTCTCATTCTGTTTCATTGTAGAAAAAATAAAACCCATATACTGACACGGACATGATGGAAAATCATGGTCTAATACTTTATTTTGTATGTAATGACAATAAATTAAAATTGTTTACAAACATCCCAGTTTTTGTTAACTACCTAGATGCTCATACTTTAGTCTGAGCATTGTAATAGCCCTTACAGCCCTCTCTTTATAAAGAGATTGTCATGTTCATGGAAACATCAGGCCAGGGAGGGGGAACAGAAACATTGTCTTTGAACTCTGTATTCCATAGCAATTGTTCTCACCTGTTCTCTGTGAAATGAGTTATTTGGGGAAGTACCTACATGTGAAACAGATGTGGAACAACGACTGGATTTCTTTTACTAGTGTGAGTTTTGCTGGGGGGGTTTTTTGCATTACTGTATGCAAATGCAGTGAGGTAAGTAACCTAGTGCACCCTCTGGAAGGCATCCAGCTGTAGTTATCACAAGGCAACAATGTAAAACCTCTATTTTCTGTAATTTTTTAAAATAAAATTCTATCTTGAAGGTCAATTCTACCCTGCCTTGTATTTGTCCAAGAAGAAATGGAAGCACACCCACTCCTTTTAAGCCTGAAGGCTTACGGAAGAAGGAAAGGTCAGGAACGTTTTGGTGGAGATTAGAGGTAGACAGCAGACTGCTTTACATCGTTCTGCTCGTGGCCTGTTCTCCAGGGGAGAGCCAGAGGTAGCTGTTGAGGGCCTGCTGCACAAGGAACAGCAACACAGCTGCTTCTTACAGGTTCATTACTGAAGCCTAACATTGTAGGACACGGTTAATTTACCAGTTACGTTTTTTGCTGCAGTTTCCATCACATGAGAAGCTCAAGGAGATTCTGTTAATTTCATCTACTTATGCTCAGAAAAGGCTGAGTTGGGTTGTTGACTAAAATAAGCAGATTAAGGTAGTTAATCCAGATAAGATTGGCTAACAATATTGTTACCATGCTTATGACATTTCACATTTCTGTGGAAAATACCTATTTTTAAACTGCTAACTCTACCTTAATTAATAAGCCAGTGTAATTTATTAACTATGCCAGTATAATTGGGAGGTGTTTGAAGTTCTTGGTCTGTTGCAGGTGCCCATGGCTGACACTTCCCCAGTGCAGCCTGTTGCTGCACCTGTGAAGCTGTGCTCTGGGAGAGCTGCTGTGTCTGAGGAGTTACGAAAGAACAACCCAGCCCTGGGGGTTTTTATTGCACAATATGTACAGTTAAGTGTTAAAGCACAGTACAGCCAGAGCTTAGCATGGCACAGGTAGCCAAGGGGATGTTGCATTGCAGGAGAATCAAGTAGTTCTGTGGAAATCTGAGAACATTTTTCATATTTTTAAAGCATAAATGCTGTGTATATGAGTGCTCTAAAAGCCAAGAGTAACAAACCACTGAAGACCACCTATTTAACCAAAAATTCTGAATTGTTTTAACGAGTCTGGTCTAGCAGGTGTGGATCCTGCTTCCTCTGAAGTGGTGAGGAACAGCATCAATAAATCGTTTGTGACTAACAGTGTCATGCTGCTGTCATTTAAGGTTACTGCTTTTCAGCACCTGAATTGGGGCAGACCTCCAGGTGGTGCAGATCCAGGCACTGGGGAAACAGTGAAATACAGTTAACCCAAGGGCAGAACAGCAGCTTTTCTGCCTTTTTATTTCCCCTTTCTTTTTCAACAGTGCTGACAAACACCACAACAGTGAGAAGAAACTACTTTGTTCCCCCTGGATTTCTGTCCTAGGTAGGCCAATCTTTTTAAAATACAAATTTAATGGGAACTCTACCTAAAGCTATGTAGGAAAGATGGCAAGACTAGGTAATGCAGGTGCCATGAGCATCAAGTTTACCGTTTCCCAATTGGCACAGATGGGCATAATTAGTAGCTTGACTGGATTATTTATTTGCTTAGAAAAATACAAGAGTCAGATTCCCATTTTTAAATCATTTTCAGAACACGACACATGTTTTAGAGAAAACTCCCAAAAATGAAGTCTTAATACTGCAACTGAAGGACAACTGTACACAAGTTTAACATAAGGCAGACAGAACTGCAACAGCAGCAGTTGAACTAAAGCTGAGAACTGGCAACATTCTGTGTTAACTGCTTTGTCTGTTGCAGCAACACAGACAAGCAGCAAGTTGATTCCCAAGAAAAGCTGACCAAATTAAGCTGTGAGACCCTTTATAAGGACATCACCTTTCATCGTGCCTTTCGCCTGCCCGTTAATCTCTCAGCATTTGTTTTCTTCACACTTTGAAGCAGTTATAAAGAACATACTTCTCCATGTTTATGTTTCAGAACTGGAACACTTCTGAATAATTATTAGGGAGCAGAGAAGAAGAGGACAAACAAGAGCATAGTCCCCTAGTTTTGGTAGGATATGTTCTGGCAGTGTCGTGTCCATCCTCCCGCTCCCCAGGCAGCATGGAACAGGTTCACAGAAGCTGACACTGGAAGCAATAAACAAAACAATAAGCTTTTACCTGGCCCGTCTCCTTCAAGCACTCAAGAGTTTGTGGTATGTAAGATTATAAAGCTATTCTACTACATCAATGCTACTGCTAAAGATAAATAGATAAACTGCAACTTTCTATCCTACCAAATACACATTAAGATGTACTTTGCAGATATTCCACCAAAGAACAGTAGGTCCCAAATAACTTACATAATCAATTCACAGTATCTTGCCTGAAGACAAAGTGCCCTATGTAAGAAACCATACCTAAGAAGCCACACAAACTTTACATCAGATCCTTTCTTAGTAGGAAGACATTTACACTCATCCGCAGGAGAGCGTAGTGCACGTGAAAAGGTAGTGTTAGCTTAAACCAAGCACAGTGCAAGCTGCTGCACCAGCTCCCCCACCTCCCTGCCAAAGCAAGTTCAGCTGGACTGCTAACTTCATTCTCGAGAACAAGGAGAGGCTGCCCACAATAAAGGTCAGGGCCTTTGCTCTTGTTTTTTATAATTTTCTTCATGGACTTAGTTACAGGGCTCGATCAGCACTATGAACCAAAGGAAAGCTTTAGTTTGGTTCCTTGTGAGAAACACAGCACAGAGTTCTTGGCTCTGTTACTTCTGAAGTGGACTGAAGAAACTAGTGTCAGTTGCTGCTCTAGCCAAAGATTCAGTGTGGTATGAAGTAGTAGTGTAGTATTATGCTATGATGTTTGGTTGCTTTACAACCACTAGTTTGTGTGACAGTGCTAAACACTAACTCTATTGCTACATTGGTACAGGGGGACTAGCTGGTAACTAACTAGCTTGTTAACTACAGGTCCACAAGCCACTTCGAAACATTCATTCTGAGTGCTCAAGAAATAGGTCGGTATAAGGGGTCTTCTGACACTTGTATCAAGTTTTTCCCCTTCTTGACTAACAGATCAGTCAACAGAAAATGGGTCATCAGCATGTCCGATGTTACGGCTGAGAGGAGAGGGACTTGTATTTAGCTCTGTGTTCATCTATTTCTTCCTTTGTTTTTCTGATACAACTAAAAATTTCTTTGAAGAGTGCTTTATATTCAGGAAGAGCACTTGGGGGACAGTCACTTAGCTCCACATTTGTGAATTCTGGGTTGCTAGCTGAAAGATCATACTGGGTATTCCCCACATTTAGGTCTTTGGAATACTGCTTCAGTGTTTGTACAGCCTTGTGTTTCAAAGAATCTTCATCCATTTGACACTTCTTCAGAAGTTCCTCATACTTCACTTTCAGAGCATTATACTGAGCATCCACTTCATTGAGTACAGAGATTCCTCGCTGCTTCACAGCTTCAGCTCTCCTAATACACGTTTCTTCATGGCCCCTCAGGATGTCTCCCCCTGCAGCACTGCTTAGGAAGGTTTCACTGCTGCTCCGTTTCAGTGCCTTCTTCTCAAGCTCTGATAGAGTCAGAAGTCCATCATCTGCCGGGCTCTGACCAAGCTCCCTTTCTAAAGACTCTCTGAATGAAATGAAGAAGGATTCTGGCACCAATTTCTCTGCATTATGGAATGTATTTTCAGACTGAAGTATTTGTCTCATTTCAGCTACTTCCACTTCCAACTCCTCTGCACGAGCCCGATACAAGTCTACATCAACAAGCCTCTGTTCAAGGTCAGAGTTTTCTTTTACCATAAGACTATATTCCTCTTCCATTGTTACCCTCTTCTCTTTTTCTAGGTTAAGTTGGGCTTGCAGAACTGTAACTGCCTTTTTTAAGTTCTCATTTTCTTCTTCTAGAGGACTTAGTTGGCTATCCATTGAAGTAATCTTTTCTGCAAACACATGATCATAAACAAAATACCTGCAGAAACAAAATTAAGTATTATGAAATGCAGGACATACACCTCCCAAGCTGTCCTGTCCTAGGTAAGTAATGACAGATTTACACTGTGTACTAACACACCTCACAGTATACATAGCAGTCATTTTACTAACCTATCAGTCCATTTAATTATCAGAACAGAGTCTGTAAATACTTACATGCCATCCAGTCAAGCCTTCCAGCTTAAGCAGCTCCCTAACAGTTTCAAGTTACAGACAAGCTTGTTGAGTAGCTAGACCTACAATTTAAGTTTAAGCAAACGTTGCCTATCTATCACACAATACTTTCTGACAATCCGATTTCTTCCACAGCATTTCAGTCTTGTAACTTTTGTCACTATTGATTGTGTAAGCAACCTTCAAAATTGACAAGGCTGATATTCCCACAAGCCTTTGGCAGTTTGAACAAAACCACTTATCTTTTGAACTGTCATGAAATAACTTGGTTTTGGATGTCTGGCTTTATTCTACAGTCCTACCTCCATGTCATGCTGAAGCCCAGACACCAAAGCCTGTCCTGCCTGCCTGTGGAGGTGCTTCACTTGTGGAATTACCTTCTAGGATTGAAGCTAGTCTGAGCTTTTATCCCAGGTGACTGTCCTGAGGGGCATTCTAATGCAGCTCAGCTGGGTAAAACTGCTCTAAATTAAAAGAGCCCAGAGCTCCAGGCACCATTTTACCAGCTTAAGCACGATTTTAACTAGCTTAATGTCAGGAAAGCTACTGTGGGAATCCTGTCTTCCTTGAGAATGTCCACAGACATCCAAAGAAAGGGTAAGCTGCAGAAAATATTCTGGACTTTGGATGCTTGTTTTTCAGGTTATCTGTGTAAGTGCTTTTGTATGACTGTAAAAAGTATGGTGCAAATTACCGTAAGCTTTCTAGGCTTTTTTTTTTTTGATATGGTTGGAGACTTTGGGAGAGTACCTTCTAAGACAGAAAGTGTAACCTGCAGTTCCTCTCTCACAAAGACCAGCATGGTGTAGAACTATACCAGCACCAGTGGCAAGACCACATAATGCAGGGCTGTGCAAGTATTTTGCTAGTCATGAACATTAGATGTTTATCTGCTAGCTTGTTCGACATCTGTGCTTTGTCTTACTTTGTAAAGCTTTGCTTAAAATAATTTCTGTATTCTCTTTGCTATGGAAGGCAAAAAGTCTTACTGGCGAAGGTCATACAGCTCCTTCAAACAGGAGAAACTATGCATTGATCGTGGCTGGTCAGATCTTTCTTGGCTCATCCGGCCTCGTCCAGACTTTTTCAGTTCTTCCACTTGTCGTTGGAGGTCATCTATGTGCATTTGTAGATTTTCAATGGTTTCTGTCAAGCTAAAAGGTGAAGGACTGCTGTTAAAAACATTTGAGTGCTTAGTCAAAAACATGGGAATTTCCCATCCCCTCATATTGTAGTTCTCTCTCTGAAGGCTACTTTTTGTGCTGAAAAGACCTTGAAATAAAACTATCCTTTCAATTTAACAGTATCACAGAACACCACTAGACAGAGAGAACCACCCGAGAACTACACAAATACACTTGGACTGCTCTTTTTCATATCATAAGCTGGGGAGGGCGCAGGGAGGTTTGTTACCTTAATATCTTTTGTTGTGAAGCTCTACTCTCCGCAACTAGTTTTTGGTTAGTGTCTTCTAGTTCTCTTGCTGTCACATCCAGCTGTTCGTAGACTTTGGCATGCTGGTCATTCATCTGACGCAAGAGCTCCACTTGCTTTGTGAGGTACTGCAAGACAGTGTTGCCATTACTACCTTACACTTGAAACACAAAGAGAGGACTGCTCTTCTGCATTTTTATTCACATTCATAGAGAAACTGCTGAGTTTCAGAAATGTAGATTCCAGTGGTTGCTTTGGTGAGTTGAAAAGGTGTTAGGAACTCCACCAGTCAGCTTCCCTTTGTCATGGAGGTCAGCCCTGATCAACCAGCCTTTTACTCAGGGGAGCTGGGTCTGGTTGTGCAAGCTGCATTTCTCACTCCTTGCTGCAGCCAGGCTCCTGGCAGCACATAAGCCTTGGCTGGGGTTGTCTGTACGGCAGTCATCACCGACACAGCTTTGAGTCCAGACTTCTACACAGCCCTTAACCATCCACCCAGTCTCTCTAGTGAGCTCCAACAGAAATTTTCTAACAGTGTTGACCCAATGATTTTCTTAGCATTAAAACTGAAATACTGGGTAGCACCATCCATAAGTAAATTTCTTCTCACCTGACCTGAGTTTTTCCAGCAGCATTAGGTTCAGAATTTAGATTGTCGCACTGAAGATGGTATGTGGGCTACTATGTTGGGAAGTATAATCAAATTATTGAATTCAATCTTTAATTACCTGTAGAGAGCTAGTCCAGTTACTGTAATCCTCAATAAAGGTCTCCTGCATGTTTGGGTTTTTTTTTAAAAAAAATCCCAAACTCCATATGAAACATTCTGACTTTAATTCTCTTTAGTTTTACAACTAAGAACATAGACTGTTAAGTTTCTTGAATAATGTCAGAATGCTTGGAATTCTTTGTGGAAAAACAGTCAGCGTTCACCTAAGGCTCTTACTATAAGTGTCTTACATTGTCCCACCTAGGATCCAATTCTAAAAATCCACACAAGAGTTTGTATCAAACAGTAAACTTCAAGTAGAACATCCAGCAGACTTTTAGACAGAACTACTTCTCTTTACATAGGCCTGTTACATACTCAAAACTTCTAATATTCTACTTAACCTTTTACCTCATTAAAAGATTGATGGGCTTACATTTTAGGCAATTTAAGAACAGATAATAAGTTAATCTAGGACTAGTAACTGCTACATACAGACTTCTAGAAGATCAACATGATAGCAGTTGGCTGGATCCTTTTGTAGCCTGGGCGCACATGACAGAGGATTACACAAAAATAGTGCGTGGATTAGCGGCAGAATCTCAATGTGACCCCTTTCAGATTAACTTTCCCTATTGGTTATTCTCAGAAGGAGATGGAGATCTTTAGGCTTTCTTCAGCAATACAAGCATGGCTAAGCACAAAAACCAAGGATTTGATGCCATAATTAGATGTTACCACTTACTACAACAGGCTTTTGCAGAAGTTTTAGGTGAATGAAAGATGTGAAGCACCATTTTCTCCACTCTGCATCTCTAGGATCTTCAGTGCTGGGGTCAAGTGTGCCGGCTATAACCAGGCCACCGAAACAGTATAGATGTGCTAATAAATACTTTAGAAGTTGACATTTATTCCACCTCCCCTGCAACTGAGCACCTGGCATGAAGCAGCAGTTGAGACTTCTTGAGTTCTACCATATGATAAAAGGTGAGTGTCTGTTTTTCTGAAGTTAGAATGCAGACAACAGGTTCAGATGGGAATAAAGCCGCCCTTTCAATTCAGCATTTTTTTACATCTACTATGTTTAGCTAGTGGCACACGTGTCAGCACAGAGGTCAGATATAATGATCCATGGCTGTAAAATACTTAATATGTTAGCGTTTAATATATTAGATGCAACCTTAAGCATTGCAAAGCCTTTGACCCTTCCTTTTCAGTGCAGATAAGGTACTACCATATTTCAGAATGATTTCTTAGCCAGTTCTGGTCTTTACTACCCAGAAGATGTGAATTAATAGGAAAAAAACCCTAAAGATTTACACTGATATACTGCACTGAAAAAGCTTGTCAAACCCCCCACCTTTCTCCCCTCTTCCTCTTGGGAGGAGTTAATAGGACAACCTAATATACACTCCTACCCGTGTTGGGGGAGAGGATGAAACACAAGAAGTAGGTATCAGATAAAAAACTTCAAAAAGTAGTATTGCACAAGTCTTGTTTTTATTTTTCTCGTTGGCTAAATAAAGCAAAGCAAAACACTGAGGGAATTAGTCTGTCACTGTCTGAGGTGACCTGAATATACAAGTACTTGACCCTGCCACACTCCCAGTACAGGTCCCTGCTGGAATGACATCTCTGACCACTTCCTGGTGCTGAAGCTCGCTTATATAGCCAATAAACATTAACCTGCCAAAAAAAACTTAAGCTAATGAGCTGACTTAAAGCAACAGGATATTACATCCTTAGTGGCACTAGGCTTTTTCTATAAATGAATGCAGCTTAGCAATAATATATTTTCCATATTTCAAGATAGTGCTCAAATCCAGCCGGTTATTAAGTAGCTACACTCAACAAGCCAGGTTAGTTATCTACCACAAAGCTGTGCTGTGTTATTTCAAAAGGTGTGTTGTACGTGTGTTAAATACTGCCTTAAACATGGTGGTTCATACAGGTGTTGAACCTTAAGCAGAACAGTATTTGTATAGCCCCTGGAAGTATTTGTCCTCTTGAGATCTTGAGAATTAATCTTTCTATGAAAACCATTTATGGCAATGAGTAAATACATTTTTTGGAATGCTGTGGCAGTAATATAAATATCAGTCTTTCCAACCATTGTAGCGCAGAATTAATAGGCTAACAAAGATGACATTTAGCATGTAATAGAGGAAAGAACCAAAACATGAGGTATAGAACAGAAGCACTTTAAATGCCCCTGCCCCAGAAATGGTGCATCACCCAGTAAAAATACCACATTGTTGTGAACATGTGTAAGTATTAGAGCTTAGGGTTCTTGAAGTTATCTGTCACCACTACAATGAAAAATGTTTTTTAAGCCTTAAGTTGCAGCTGTACAAAATCCAGTGTCCTTAACTGCACAAGTACTGCTTGCACAAAGGAACTCAGATTTTGTAAAAATCCAGTGTATGCCAGACACAGCCTGTTCCCTGTGAACCTACCAGAACCAGACCGAACCGCTGCCTGCGTTCTCAATTTGTCAGTCAGCACAGTACTGAATATTTAATAATTTAGAGATTACTTTAATAGCTGAAAAAAATTAATTATGCTTACAAACGCTAGGTCTGCAAGAACACAAGCAATATTTAAAAAAAAAAAATAAAGGCCAGAAATGGCCAGGTTTTTCCACCAAGTAACACAAAGATGAGTGTTTTTGAAAGGGTGGTTATTCCTCCCCCCACCCTGGAAAATATAGCACAGTACAGCCACTAGGTCCTGTATTTTGATGCTATTTCAGTGTTTGGGTTTGCCTTTTTTTTTTTTTTTTAAAATTGAAATAGACTTTAGCTCCCTTTACCACAGCACAGTTTAGTGGATGTACATATCCTCAGGTTTTAGTTAAATCTCTCTCCTGTACTTATCAGCATCTAAATTCCAGTGTGGTAACCACTAACATTTTCATATAATAATTATTCATTTATTCATCATATAATTTCATGTAATTTTACCTGGCAAGATCCGTAAAGTTTAGCAAAAACTGAACTTCTGTGTACAAAATACAAATACTAGTCACTTGTCATTAAATAATCCAAACCCATCACGAAGCTTAATGGACAAACAATTCTAACTCTGATGAAGCCCACACAAGTTTTAAAATTCTCAAAGTAAAAGTGGTTAAAGATTGTTCAGTATTTTTATTTAAAATTTCTATCATATGTCAAGAAATTCAGATTCCAATTTATGTGCTATTATGTTGAAGGTCTAGATGCTTTAGCACTTGGATCCCTTAAATATTTACCTCTATCTCCTGCAGCTGCTCTTGATTTGTTGCATACATTTGCTGTAAAGATTCTTCTAGTTCAGTGTTACGATCCAGTAGTGTCTTCCCTAGCTCAGCAGCAAGGTGAAGATCTAAACAAAAAAAATCATGTTTGCACATAAATTATAGAGGCAATAATCTAATTTTAAAGCTGTTCTATAACTGCTCTAAGTTATTTCCAGTACCATCTATAATGCAAGTCTTAAGTCAGTCCTGAAACCTAGAAGACATTTCATGAAGCTTCCTTAGTTCCTCCTTTGGTCCTTCAGCCACATTCAGCCATCTTCTCTTCGCTTCCCACCATCTGCCCAATACTGCACCAGCATCTCTACCCAAGGTGTCTCTCAGCTACACTTCACCATGTTTACAGCACTGACGTTTTTGAGGAATAAACATAGAAGACCCTGTAAGTGTTCATCAGGCTAGACCCAGGCCAAAGCTGACTCCACTCTTTCTTTGCTCTTCTTCCCCATTACCTCTTCGCCAAGGAGCTCAGGTCATACAGGAGCAAAGTTCTAAATACAAAGTTTCGGATGCTTTTTATGGTGAAACAATTAAAAAAAAAAAAAAATAACTGTTTTGCTTTTCAAGCTCATAAACCTAGGAGACAGGAATTGTTTTATGTGCTCCAAACCATAGTTTTAAATGTCATTTGTTCTCAGGCACTTAATCTGAATTTCACTTCAATCATCTTCAGTCACCTCCAGGGTGCAGTGACTGTAGTCTGCAATTAAGAAATAATTCATCTGAACACTCGGTTCCTTTCTAGAGGGAAGCTTGATATTTGTTCAATATCAATAGCGCTAGATATTCTATATTATTGTGTTTAAAGACAGGTAATTTAAAAGCTGACCTTATGTGACAAAGAGCTACATCTTGCTGTTATTGCTAAAACTGTAATTATACTGTACAAGGTATTACATGTTAAGAATCAAACAGATTTCTAAAAACCTCTTAATTTTCCATCTCCTTACCATCACCTGGACAATGACCAGGTTGCCCTTGCATGCATACAATACCATTTTGCTAGCTTTCCCACAGGACTACCATCACAAATAGGAAAGAGACAGAAATCAAGAAAAACTTAAGATTTGTTTTAGTAAGACTTAACACAGAAGAGACAAGTACTGCATCATAGTTGTAGGAGCTGGAGGAGTAAACACATTCCATTTTCATTTGATTAAAATACCCTTGTTTAAACATGTTATCTTACCACTTTCCTGCCCTTTCCCAATTATCTTATCAGTTAGTCATTGTAACAGATAGAACATGGTTCCAGGATTATTGTGTGCTAACCTTCACTTGGCAGCCTGTCCAAAATGATTACTCTAGCTAAACACAAAAGCCAAAGACCAAATTCAGACTTAAAAGGACAAGTGAATAGGAGCATTTGTCTCTGAAGTTGTAGATATCTGATACTGGCAAACAACAGCTGTGGTATTCTTTACACATTCTTTACAGCTACAGTGCTTTGTTTCCTACCTTAGGGTCAGATTCTTACAATCAATGCTACAAAACTTATTTAAAACTAATCACACTGCATGGGAATTCTTTACCATTTCAAAAGATGTATGGCTAGGAGCCAGGTGGCATACTGGTCTTTATTTAGGAGTTTATTCTCACAGAACTTTTTCATTGTATTACCACTTGTTTAGAAACACAGCCTATTCTAGAGCTAGGGTTTAAAGTATTTGGGTAAGGAAACCTTAAGGTGTCCTGTGTAAGTTTTCCCTGTTTTTAAACAGAAATTATGCATTGTTTACCCATGGACAGAGTAACTCCCAGTCAAACACCAAGCTGTCAGTCCTACCACATTATAGAATACTGTTGTCTTCAAATCCAGTGAATCTACTGTCCAGTATAAAATGGAATCCTGATCCACAAGTTCTCATGCTACACAAATGTTTGCTAGAAGCCACAGTCTTTAAACCTAGCCAACAATACAGGCATCATTCAAGGCAGAGACTCAATAGTCCATTCTTTTATTTTAATAGAGTAGAATAAGAGCTTTAGAAAGGATTTGGATTATGTTAAAGACATAATGCATAATGGAATTACTTGCTGCCATTTCCCTTCCCAAAGCGAAAGTTTGTTTTGATGTTTAAGAACATCTAGGAGTTGATAGTTTAATTCTTAAATGCCCCCTCATCTACTACATCAAGTAGCACATACCACACAGTACTTTGAATACAATGGGAGTAATAGAATTCATGTCATTACACTTACACACTCGCTCTGTTCATTAGAGTGGCAGAAGCACAAATGAGTTACTGAGAGAAGGATGCCATTCTGTAATTAAGGCAATTTGTTTCTGAGGGGGAGAAGACAAGTGGAAGAGCTCAGGAACATGCAATAAACCCTAACTCTACCCCTAGAGAAAGCAAGAACTGGAACAATTTCACATCTTCTAAAATTAACAATTTGCTTTGTGTCCATTTTTCTACATCAAGTACCTATAAGCCCTACAAAGAGCAAATTCTAAGATTGAGATGTGCAATATATAGGTTGTACAGATACAGAAAGAAACCAGTTAATTTACATTTATCTTTTAAGTTATTGTACTATACTGGAGACACACTGCATTTTCTGTTGTAAATTTATGTAAAGTAACAGTTCAACCACAGACATTTTTTCTTTCCACCATGAAGATGTAAGCAGAGAGGTTTTAAATAATGCAAACTGCATACGTGCAGATCTTCAGATCTTCATTTTAGCAAATCTGATCTGTTGTACTCATGTTGAACAGCTCCATCAGAAATCTCTAAACCAAAACACGACTTCAGTGATAGGTCTTCTGTGATGTTAAAGAGCCCTCGCTTACCAGCACTTCACCACAATCTCTTCTGACAGTTATAGTTGAGAGAAAGATAAAAACAGTACTAAAATCCTTCTCTACTTTTTCACAACCCACCTAACAAAACTATTCAAAGAATTTGCAATCTAAAAACCAAGCCTGTTCAACAAGATATGTAAGGAAGCCTGATTGCAGTTTACTTAGCTGTAAAATTAAATGCTTAATTTTTTTACTTAGCTTCATATTTCCTACTCCACGTTCAGATTACCCTGTTCTGTTAAAATAACAGCAAGATGTAAAACGAGCAGTCATATAAAAGAATTCTTTTTCAAAGGTCAGCATACTGCAGCACAATATGGATGCTGCAGAAGGAAGGATGGATGTTCTATCCTTAGAATTCCATGAGCATTCTGTTTTCATGAACAGCATGCCAGAAATCCCATCTCCATTGTCAAGTCAAAAGCTTTTGGTGCATACAAAGACTGTCAAAGTTTTTCCAAAACCCTCACCTAATTTTAACTTTCAAAGACTGGCTGACAAGGACTAAAAGCTTGTTTTGAGATACTTCCTAATGTTTTACAAACTAGGTTTTTCTCATAATCCTACTCCTCAGTTTTTAAATGTCACTGATTGTTTGGGTTGTAAAAAGTTTTGAGAGACCTTGACAAGCCGTCTTACCACTCTGTTTAAATACATCAGTATTGCTTAGTCTTAAGAGAAGGAAGAGTATCTTTTGGACTCCAAGAATAAATTCTAACAATGTTTGAACATTATCCTTGTAGGGAACTTCTTTGCATTTCAACTTGCCCATCAGTTTATTTTCCTTCTTTCCCTTTTGGCATGGCTATCAGCCACTTCCACTTAGGCTTGTAAAGCTAATCCCCAGGAAAAGATTGTTCCAATGTTGAGAGAGCATTAACGAACTCTCAAAATGCATGAACCTCCAGAAGGGAATACTGTTTCTCAAAAGCTCACAGCAGACAGCTAAATGGTGATTATTTCACTCAGTTAAAAAAATGAAATTAAAGAAACATCAGTAAGGCAAGAAGTCAGTTGCTATACACTGTGGAGTCTCTGTAGTTCTTCCCCATAAACACTGACATAGTAAAAACATTGCTAAGTCATGCAACTCCCTTCCACTTGACGGCAAACTACAATTTCAGGATCTTATTTGAATTGATTGGTTTATATCCTAGAGCCATGAAAACATCTATTTCGAGCAAAGAGTACCTAAATACAGCTTTCAAATGGTTAGCTATTTTATAGGCAAAGCATACAATTAGGGAGACCTGTTCCTGTCCTAAAAGTTTCTGCTGTCAGATGCATGATCTCAATGTGAAAACTGCTTAGCTAGGAAGAGCTTTCAAAAGTATATTTCTTCATAGTCTGTAGTATGGTACCACCTACCAATTCCAAGAATTAATGTACTTCAGTGTAAGAGGTGTAAGGCTGGAGGTTTGCAGGAAGCCACCTCCCAGCTTTGAGCTGGCCTTTTAAAACAAACTCGGGATTAATATCAAAAAACTGGAACCAAGTAAATTCCCATCATAAATTCCACTAAGCTCTTAAGGAAATCACACATTCTTTCCATATCATGTCCGTAGAAGATTTTTAGTCCAATTACACTTGTCTGTTCCTGTGACTCCTTCCTCATGTGTGAAATAAGTATGACGTTTACCTGTTCCATGCAGTGTTTCAGACCTGTTGACAGAATGACATACAGGAGCCATATATATATAACGCTGATGCCTGGTGCAGTTATTTGTATATTTCAAGAAGAAAACTTACAGTTTTTATTAATGGACTTAAAACTGATGGAGCATAGCTACGTTTACAACTTCACCGACTGGAAGCCCTTTCAGAAAGGTTCAAGCTGGCACAATACAGCACCCCACCCCGGTGCTGCCAGCGCCCGCTATTTCCAGCGTCTACGCAGCAGAGCTGCTCGACGTCCTGTCAAGGTGCAACTTTTCGGAGAGCCGCGCCCCTCCCTCCCTTGCAGAGAGGGACCCGGGCACAATCCAGCTCGGCT